GGGGGGGGGGGGGGAGGGTTGTAGTTGCTGGCAGAGTCCAACTAAATAACTGGCTATGCGCCCCTTCACAGCTTCACAGTGAAGCACAGCCACTCCTTACAAGTGCTGCGTCTTGAACACACACTCCCAAATTCCCGGTGGTGTCCCCGGTTCGGTGATGTGAGTTTTCGTGTGTCAGAAACAACCAACCACAGCAGTACGATCAACAAGGATCGCCGTGCAGGCTTGACGCACTTACATGGCGCCCCGGAAGCCTCTCAAATGCGCGCCGCACCGCTTGCAGGTCCACCCCTTGAAGGATGTCGACAGACGCTTCGCGGTCTTGGGAGTGGCGGACCCAGGTCCGCTCTTCTGGCCTTTCTTCTTCTTGCCCTTGGCGACTTTCTTCTCGCCTTCCGGCTCGGAGGAGGAAATTTTCTTCCGCTTCTTGGCGTTGGGTTTCGCTCTCTTTTTGCCGTTGTCGTCGTCGTCGTCTTCTGTCAGCCCTTCCTCTTCGTANTCTTCTTCTTCTGGTCTGCCGCCGGCCTTGCTGTCCCCGAAATGCGCCCGCTTCCACCCCCCCGACCCCTCCCGGTGCCTCCTCCCCCAAGCCCGCCACCACGCCCCCTACCCCGCCCTTTACCGACGGCTCTCGGCGAACCTTTCGAGCTCGCCGTGTCTGTCTCCGTCCCTTTCCTCCGGCCTCCCGGGGAATCTTTCCCCTTACCCTCTTTCCCCGGCCCCACTGCTGCGGCTAGAACTGGAGGCTTTACCGTCCTGGTCGGGCGACCGCGCCTCGGCTTCGGCCGCGTCCTGAAGTATTCCGTCTCCGTATCCCAGCCCTCCTCCTCATCTGACTTCTGCGGCGCTTCCTTTTCCGCCTTCACCTTCTTCTCCCGCCGACCCTCTTCGTTGCCCGCCTCCGCTTCATTCGGCGGAGCAGCGGTAGCAGCAGCAGCCTCCCTCGGGAATGCTTGCTTTGCTTCCGACTTCTTTTTCGGGGGGCGAACGCGCCCCCGGCGGGTCGGCTCGGTCTTGTCGCCGCCTTCCGCCTTGTTGCCGCCGTTTGAGGCAACGGACGGCGACGGCGGCGGCGACGGTGATGGGGGGGGTGACGCAGACAGTGATTTTGGAGGTCTGCCGCGCTTCTTGCCCGCGGGCGGAGCTTCGGCCGCCGGAGAAGCGGCAGCAGCAGAAGCCTCCCTCGGGGATGCTTTCTTTCCTTCCGCCTTCTTTTTTGGAAGGCGACCGCGCCCCCGGCGGGGCGGCTCCGCCTTGTCGCCGCCTTTGACGGCAACGGACGGCGACGGCGACGGCGGTGGCGGCGATGGCGATGTCGGAGGTGACACAGACTGCGTTTTTCGCGGTCTGTTGCGCTTCTTTCCCGCCGGCGGAGCTTCGCCCGATGACGGCGGCGACGGCGACGGCGATCGATTCTTGCGCGGTCTGCCGTTTTTCTTTCCGGGAGAAGCTGCTGCCACCGCGGGTTCGTCGTTGGACGACGTTGACGCTGCCGCAGCCGCCTTCCCACCTGGTTGACTGGCGACGGCGGGGGGGGTTGGG